GCCCTTCTATGTACTATAACGCTCCAAGTATTTATTGGAATCTAACCCTGAACAGCAATATTCAACATCGTCAAACGGCGTCAAGACTTCGGGTTCGAGGGAGGTCTCTCCCATGTCGGCCATGGTGACGAGCCACAATTCATCTCCAGCGGCCAATTTTCTCAACTCGCCTTCTCCTCTTGGCAACCACATCAATGGAAACACCATCTGGCCTAACAGAGTAGATGTCGCGCCGGCCACAGCACCGGATGCGTTGCCCACTCCTATGCAATTTAGCAACCAGATGCCTCAGCCAATGCCTATGCCTCAACATATCCCACTCTACAACAGCACTCCTGTTTATAACTTTACTGGCGGCTATGAGTTAAGAATCTTGCCCACACCTCTGAAATCGCGTGTCGAGACGCAAATTCCTATCAAAATGACATTGTCGCCTTTGCCACCCGGTGTAACCAAGTTGCATTTGCCTACCCACACTATATCTAAGCCTAAGCTACTCGCTCGGCCGTGCACTGAACGATCTCCCGACACCCTAGAATTACACGTTAACTTGGTGTGCACAAGTGCGATGGAGCAAGGGGATTTCAAGAAGAAGGCGTTGGAGAGAGCCGCAGTAGTACCACAGGGATACTTGCCAGAGCTTGATGATGAAAAGAACTCGCCACAAAACGGAGGGGATGTTCGGATTTGCGCTGGGTGTATCTCGCGAGAGCGGAAACGAGCAGCGCGAAAGAAGATCAAGAAGCCAGAGGAGGAGAAGATTTGGAGTCAAGACGAGGAGCGACGTGTCATTGTCTTCAATACCCAGGAAGTCAAGGAATGGCAGCCCCTGAGTGGTGTCTTGGATGCCAGCGGACGCCCTGATCCAGTAGTCACTCGTGCTATGCAAATCGATGCTCCCATGAGAATTGCCTGCTACTGCAGGCATCATAGCGAGAAGATGGGCTTTAACGTCATCTTCACCATCAAGGACTTTCGGGATCGCCTTATTGCACAGGCCATGTCCAACCCAATCATGATTACAGACGACCACAAGACTCATCCCATGGCTCAAGCCTCGAACCCTCAAGTATCAGAGACGGTCACCTCGACCACAATCCCCATCCATATGCCCCAGCCTATGGAGAGCAATCACATTGCGCCGGCGCCCGGCGTTCAAAACGGAACATTTCAGGTCTCCTCGCCTAATGCAGACGGTAATTCCCAGCAAGGTGGACAGTCGCCCTACTCAGGTTCTGTCGTCTCCGGGAAGACGACTCCCACCATGAGTACCCCAGCAGTAACTGGACGAACTCTTTCTCGACCTTCTTCGCCCAATCAAGGCGGCCCGGCCAAGAAGAGAAAGTCAAGCAGCTCGAGGGTACCTAACGGCTTGACGATGACAAGGCTGGATACTTCACCGCCGCCAGGCTCTCAAATAACTTCATCACAGATCTCTACGGCGACATCTCCTTTCTCTCCCAATCCGAGTCCATTCCAACAACCAGAACAGATATTTGGGCCTATGAATGGCCCAGCTCCATTTGCGAATGAGCCCCCTACTCCGGGTAGCAATGACCAGCTACCGTTCTTCTCTAACCGTTCCGCGAGCATGGACAACCTGGCAATGGCTCAGATGTATTCTGCGCCAGCATCAAGCCACCCAAGTCGTGCCCCTAGCCCTAATGGTCTGAGAAACAGTGTTGCCGGCGGCATGCAAAATCAGTTCACGCAAAGCCTGGCAGCCAACTTGTATCCCCTGCCTCTCGGCGTCAACCAAGCACGAGCGCCTCCCACTATTCACAAAATCATCCCAAATGAGGGACCCAAAATTGGAGGCATCGAGGTTACTGTCTTGGGTGCTGCTTTCTTCCAAGGCTTGGAGGTCTTCTTTGGTGATCAGAAGGCTACTACTACAACATACTGGGGCGACTCTTCTCTCGTCTGCTTGCTGCCCCCGTCACCCGTTGCTGGGACTGTTGCGGTGACTTTCAAGCATCAAGGCATCCCTGGGGCTCTAAATTTCGCCATGGGAAAGCAACCGCCTACGTTCAAGTACATTGACGACAACGAGGACAAGCTCATTAGGACAGCTCTGTCTGTGCTGGGACACAAAATGTCTGGCCAAATGGTGGACGTTAGTGATTTGGCGCGCCGAATTCTCAATGATGGCAACTCGACTTGGGCCAGTGGGGGTGGCTCATCATCATCAGCTGGTGGACCAATGTTCAACCACGCTGCCACCTCTCGTGAACATCTCGAGTCGCAGCTTCTCAAGTGCTTGGATCTCATTGACCTTGATGACAGCACTCACAAGACACGCCTCGATCTGAAGAGATCCACGGGCCACACTATGCTGCATTTGGCCTGTTCGCTAGGCTATCATCGGTTTGTCGCTGCTCTTCTTGCCCGCGGCGCCAACCCCGATGCCCGCGACAAGGGAGGATTCACGCCGTTGCACATGGCTGCCATCCACAATCACCCCGAGATTGTGAGACGCCTGATGCTTGTTGGCGCAGACCCGACGATTCGAAGCTTGTCCAGCCTCACGCCTGCTGATGTAGCCCAGTCACGAGCCGTTCTGCGTGCAATCCGCCATTCTGAGCGACACGTACGATCTAGAAGCGGTGGCTCTCTCCACAGCCGAACCAGCAGTGCTACCTCGCTACGTTCCTTGTGGGAGCCAATGACCAGAGCACACACTCATGATGAGCCCATCTCGATAGATTCAAGTGAGGAGAGCCCTGAATACACATCTGGGGACTTTGAGGATGAAGACCCCGACGAGGATGTTTACCTCACGATGAGACGCGCCAGCTCTATGAGGCAAGACGAGGAATCTTCCGAGCATATCGAAGAACCAGCTAGGCCCGACAATGGAATGGCTTCTCCCACAACGGCACTTGCGGCTGCCTTGAAGGATCAGGTACAGCAACAGCTCCAACAGTTCCAACAGTCTATGACACTGCATCTGCAGAACCTCGCCCACTTCCCTCAGATGCCCGCCCTACCAGGAATGGCGATGCTCCCTGACTATCAGGCATATTTCCAGCGTGTGCAGCAGCTCATGCCAGGCATGTCTGGTGCCCGCCCTGGATCGACCGGCGAGAACCAAGGCAAGATGGACGGCCGTTGGTGGGATATCAGCTCTTACATGAACAACGCGAGCGCAGTGCCACCTCCTGCGTATGAAGATATCTTCCCACAACAAGATGTGGACAGGAAGCAGGAATCCGCTATCCGAGCCGCTGCGGAAGCTGAGGCTGATATGAAGTGTGCAACCTTGTACGATCAGACCGCATCCACCACAACGACAAGCACGACTCGTGCCAAGACCGAAGCTCCGGAGATTCTCAAGATTGGACGCAAAAACGCCATCACCAAGGAGCAACAGGAGCAATTCCTGCGGGCACGTGAGATCAAGCTGAAGAGCCTCCGCAGCGACCGGAACCTCTTCTTCGTTTGGGTAAGCATCACTGGAGACGAGCCAAAATGTGACACAGGCTTTGCTAACAATGTAATAGATTCCTCTTCTCCTGGTAGTAGTGTGCGCTATGCTTTACAGCTATTTCCCCTCACTGTTCCCTTTCCTCTGGACCTCGGTCCGAGCCCTGGTACAGGCTGGCCATAATCGAGCATCTCGGCTGGTGAGCACAGCACCCGAACGCGTTGTAGAAATATGACACGTTTGGTGATGGTGGTTGTCCTTTGCTAGAGAAGGAGCTTTCATGCAGGGTGTGTGAGCGTTGAGAGTTTGAACCGACATGGGGCTTTTTGCGGGCTGGCGTTTTTCTTATCATCTTTGCCTTGACAAATGCTGTAACCCTTTATGGAACTTGCATCGACGTTCGTTTTGATTTGACATTCTTTGCATGGAGTCGCGAAGCAGCATTTCTTGAGGGAACAGGACTGTGGTGGCAATATAAACCTACGGATGTACGTTTTGAGAACGTTTGTAAACTGGGGGATGTTGGAGGGCGATGAATTGCTTCGCAGGAGCCATGCATGGGATGGGACAGCGAGTAGGATAAGATCCGCCTTGTTGCTGCGGATGTTTGTTTTTCTATACTTTTTTTCTTTTTTTTTTTTCTCCCTCTTCTCCTCATACGGGGGTTTCTGCTCCGAGGATCATTCGCTGATGTTGGCGACGGACAAATACGGGTTGTTAGGAAATAGGTATAGTACAAGGCCTTGACGTTTTTTTATTTGCCGGTAGATAGATGGCTGTCAGTTGGTTTTGCCGGACGTGGTACTCTTTAGGTAGAAAATGGTACCGTATATAGCGAGCGCATCGCCGAGTGCCTGTCATTGTGACGCGTCCTACTCCTTCAAGCTGGACCGGCTTCAACACAAGGTGATAATGGGCGGCTGGACGCACGTCAACCTTGTTGCAGCCAGATTGACACCACACGAACGTGCTTCCGTCGGCCAATGGCCCCATCGCGGTCATGCAGCAATTACGTGTCGCACACAATAAAACGCCGCAGCTGGCACGGTATCGGAATGGCGTATCCCAGGTGGGAGGGAATATGGGTAGCACAATGGCCAACGGTCAAATGACATGGTGAAGGAACCCCTTTATACCTTATGGCTTGCCTGATGCTGGCCAAAGAGAAAATTGCCTCAAGCAGCAGCAGCAGTCAGTATCCGGAAGTTCGGCATACCGCGTAGGCCAGCATCTTGTGGGTGAAAGAGCCGTGTCTGTCGGTTCCCTGGGTAGGCAGGGGGAAAAGGGCTGAAGCTCGAGGATGTGACCAAGCACACGACCATCGTGCCTCGATTCTGGATCCTGACTGCCGAACCGCAAAGATGTATATGCATACATGTAAATATACGCATGTATATCTACTTCCTTGCCCCCGACACAAAGGCGAGCTGTCCAGGAGAAAAGAGAGCCTGCGTCGTCGCCCCCCTCGGTCCAAAAACCCAAGCCAAGATAGCAAATCCCGAATCCCAGATCGCACAAGACCAGAACACAGCGCTCTCGTAGCCCAAGGCCCCCTCCGTCGCCGTCTTCCAACATGACCGCCGGCTCCCGAAACCCCCCTCCCGGGGGAGCAAGGCCTCCCCTCGCCGAGGGCAGCAGCAGCCACGACGACACGGCCGCGAGGGAGCAAAACACGACCCAAGACGCGCCCGGATGCTCCATCTGCGGCGAGCCCTGGACGCGAGCGCCCTCCCCGCCGCGCCGGCTGCCCTGCGGGCACGAGTTTCACGGCGCCTGCATCGACCCCTGGCTGCTGGGACACTCGCGGACCTGTCCCCTCTGGTAATGAGCCACGCCGCCACGCATGAATACACACGCGCGCGCGCACCGAGATGAAGAGGCCCCAAGCTAACGGCGTCGTGGGGGACGAATTTGCAACGACGCAGCCGCGACAGAGTGGCACCGCTTTCCTGCTGCCCGTCAGCGCTGCCGGCGCCGAAGCCCTCGCCGTCGCCGCCCGTCGTCGTTGCGCCCTCGCGGTGGAATGTGCTCCGGCGAGGAGCAAGACTAGTTGAGTTTCCGCTCTTGTTCTTGTTGGCGAACCTAACGACTTGCGATAGGGGCCGCGGGATGTCCTGGCCTTGACGAGCATCCCCAGCATTCGGTCCCAGGGGTCCGGGGCGACGTGGACCGAGAGGATCACCGTGCTGCCGCTGCCGCTGCCGCTTCGGTCGCTCAACGAGACGGCAGATGTAGACGCGGCTCCTCGGCCTGGCGCGCCTTAAGACGGACGCCGTGCCTGTTGCCGCCCCGGATATCGAGACGCCGGTCCGGTCTAGTTGGGCGTTCGCAGTCGCGTTCGCAAGGTGGCGAGTCGAGTCGATGGCGGAGCGAGAGCAGGACTGTCAATGGTCTCTTTGGGACAAGAGGGAAGAGGAAGAGTCTAAAAGTAATCATCAAACGAGGATAGTGTCTCTGGTTTATGCAGCCCCCCGGGGTTCAACTACATACCTAGGTAGTGAGTGCTCTGTATCTAGGCAGACAAAAGAACCACGAAGCAAAGAATCAGGCCACCACCTCTCCCCAGTGAAATAAGGCAAAAATCAGCCCGGGCCGGCAGACAGACCAGAGGCTGGTGGTATCGCTCCTCAAAGACCAGGATACAATACAGTATGCAGCACATCCGCCGCAGGGGGGCTCTTATATACATTCCAATATATGTGCATCAACGCCATCATCATACCAACATAACTCATATCCATATACAGCCAAGGAAATCATTAGGTCCATACCGCCATGCAAAGCTCATGACGCTGCCGCACGCCCAATTGTCGACCCAAACTCCAGATGCCATACAAAATCGCAAAAGTGCACCTCAACAACACATCACCACGACCTCATCCAAGACCGTTGCCTCCATTTCAAAAACCACGGGGGCATAAACTGATTCTCATCAACCAGGCTTCGTCAAGTCGCGCTGCCAACCCCCTATCTCCTCAACCCCCTCCACGGCACTCCATTCTCCCTATCCTCCCCATACGTAAACTTGGCCGGAATATCAGGCACCCTCGGAATGCCCCTATTCGCATCCGGCACGACCTTGAGCCCCCCATTGCCGTCCCTCATCCCCGCAGACCTCAAATTCCTAGCACTAGTAGGCCGTCGGATCCTGCGAGTCACGCTCCCGTGAATCTCACTCGAGTTGCGCCCCCTGGGAAGCACATCCATTGACGCTCGCGCAGCAGGCACTTCGCCCTGCTGCTGCTGCTGCTGCTGAGCCCACGGCATCTTCTTGCTAAGCCTATCCAGCTCACGCTCCTTGCCGTCCTCCTCCTGCGTACCCACAGAGACGTTCCTCCGGGCCAAAGCCACCGCCGCGCGCATGCTCTTCCTCGACGCAACGCTTCTCAGCTTGGGGAGTGAAATGTCCCGCGAAGCAGATATACGCAGCCGCTTCGGGAGAAAGCGATGCGCCAGCGTAGATTCATCCTCGCCGTCGTCGCGCTCCTCTTCCTTGCCCCCTTGCTCCCCGTCCCCGTCCCCGTCGACACTGGGCTCAGGTGACTCGGCCGCGCGTTTCGTTCCCCGGGACGAGGCCACGCTGACGGGGGAACAGACTTCGTGCGCCCCGGGCAGGGATTGCGGCGTGAGCGGTCTGGGGGCAAGCGGCCACTGCGGCGCAAAGCCGGCATTCCTGGAAGGCGCCCCGTGGGATGTAGACGGCCGGTAGTTGGGCGGCGGACCGTGGCGGGTGGACTGTATGGCGTGCGAGGAGAAGAACCCCGAGGCAACGAGCTGCTGGTAGCTGGCAAAGACCTCGTCCCGAGAGGGCCTGTCGTCTTGTGCGTCGCTGCTCGCGGGGTCCTTCTTCTCTCTGGCCTTTTCTTTGTCGTCTGCGTCCCTGCGTAGTCGGAGCCTGCCGCGGACCCCCTCCCACACCTGGCCAAAAATGTTCATCTTCGTGGTAGGCTTGCGCGCCGTCGGCCGCGGTTGGGGCTGCGCCTGCGCCTGCGGCATCTGCCCAGCCGGCTGCCTCTCCTCGCGTCTCCCAAAGTAAGCCGGGTCAAAGGCAGCAAATGCAGATTGTTCCGCGTAAACAGGCCGCTCGAGCGCCTCTCTGTCCTGCGGACCAAGAAAGTGCACTGGCGGCACGGCCGACACGCGGTCGTTCATTGAGCCTTCTTGGAACCTGCCCCTCTGGGCAAGAAAATGCTGGGCTCTCGTTCTGGGAGGGCCCATGATGAAGAAGTCTTCTTCCTGGTGGTAAAGAGGGTCCTCCAATTGCTTTGAGTGAGTGCGCGCCGGTTTTGCGAGTAAATAAATGGTCGATCAAATTGGCTTTTGTTCGTTACCGACTTCGTATGGTATCTGCCACCTTTCAACTTTATGGTACGGGCAATCTCAACGAAAAGGGCCAACGCGGGAAAGGAGAAAATAGTTGAGATACAAGCAAGACGTCCGTGTATGTATGTCTGCGGTGACATCCCCATCTGTGTTTGGCCGTTTGTTGACTTACACTCATTGTTCCGTGCCTGAACCCCTGTACCCTACCCGTGATCTCGCCATGGCAACCAAGCGCTCCACTTTTTCCTTCTCGTGCACTCTCCAGCCAAAGACCTCTCAGTCGTGCCGGCCCACTTCTGGTCTCTAGCCAAACCGGCCATTGTTCATAGCCGTCGTCAAATTTGCAGCGCTCCAAGGTTGAAAAGATAAAGCGGCCGTTCTATCTACATGGCCGAGTCCCACTCACGGTTTCATCAACTGTCAGCGGCCCTTGTTCATCTCCTATAATCGATATGTGACAACTCTAATTCATTCTGCTGCCACATCACAGTCACATACTAATAATTCATCAAGCCCCCCTTGTATGTCATTTTTCGCTTCCGTTGTCACACCTACACAGCTCGTCTTGGTTGAATCGTTGATTTAATTGCAACTACCTATCCTGCCTTCCAAGAGCCGGCTTTTTAATCAGCCCTCACAAACTTTGGGCATTAGCGTGCCAGCCCAGGCGAAATGAAGAAAAAATGATAATAATAAACAACCAGCTTGTTTTGTCCGTCAAACTCAGTGCACGCTTCATTCAAACGTATATGTCGCGTTGCCGCGCACGGCAGCAAAATAATAATAATAATAAATAAATCGAAGGTCCCGTTTCCAACGTAAAAAGCCGTGCATGGCAGAGGGCCCAAGCTTCCCAAAATTTTCCAAACAAATACAATGGTTGCAAAACATCAATCACATGACACGCCATGAATTGGACGCACGTCGTGACAGGTAGTTCCGTTTCTCAATCCAATCCGAAACAAATAACAATCGATAGAAAATGATGTTGCGGGGAGTTGTGAACCCGGTTGTCGACATTCGCGCCATTGTTGGGGCCGAGGAGCCAAGGAAACCAAAGCCTTAACAGTCGTAGCATCTGGGCAGCTCAGTATAGTATCTCCCATCTCCCGTTCTCGAAGTTGCCATCTCTATGAAGCGTAAAAGTCGACATATAAGTTGATAATAAAAGCACACTGTAGATCAACAGGAAAGGCCGCGATACGGGGTTTGTTGCCGGTGTCCCAGGCATCGTATGGCATTAGCCGAGAAAAAAAAAGAACAAAGATTCGATTGTAGAAAAGAGAAAATGGTATTTGCTCCCGACGCCGACTCCTTCCATGTCTCGATATAATTCTCTCCACACTGTCCACTGGCAACGTCAGTGAGACAAAACGTACATGAGCAAAATTCAACACCAACAAGAACGCCAAAGGGTATAGGCAAAGTAGCAGAGCGAGGTTCGGGTCTGGACCCGAACGATTTCACAGAGGCCGTCAACTCCCCGTCAAACTAGGCCCTATTGGTACCGGTTGAACTGAATCACGTCAACCTTGCCATCGGCCCTCGAATACCTGCCTTCAAGAGTCTCAGGGCTGAGACCCTTGAAACGGCCATACTGTGTATCCTGCTGGCGCTGTCCGTTTTGCAAACCGTGCATAAAGACGTCTTGATGTTTTCGTTTGCCCCCTGTGGGAATAATAGGAGACACAGGCACAGGCTCTGTCTGGGCCTCGATAGGGGGTAGAGGTGAAGGGGACACCAGCGCAGCAATCTTGAGCGGTGCCAGGGACGTTTGCGACGTCCGGCGCGGTGGTTGTGGCAGTAATGGCGTAGGCGGGTATGATTGATGCGAGTCCCGCCTCGAGGTCTCCGAATATCTCGATGGGGAGGGTGACACATAATTTCCCGGTGCCCTGTCATAGGGAAGCTCATGCTTGACTGACGGAACAGGAGATGGACAGGTCGAGCTCGGATTGCGTGTATGAGTAGGGTATCCGTAATTGTTCTGTTCCGGCTTCACATAATTCGTCGCCTGACCAGGCGAAGAATATGGTGCGGCGACCGGCAGTTGGACGTGTCCATTCAGAGGAGGCGGCGCCGGATAATGTCGCGGGGTGGCGTATTGGGCAGTAGGATGCTCTCCAAATGACAAATGACAACTACGGCTCGGCGGAGGACCAGAATCATAACCCGGAGGTGGTGGAGGAGCATGATAGGCATCAACGGCAGAAGGTCGTCGATGCGGCTCAGGTGCGTAGGGGACCCGATGCTCGCTTGAGTTGCTCAAGGATCGGTTTCGGATGCCATGAGGGTCTTCGGGAGCGGGTGTGACAGTTCTGCGGCGGAAGTCCTCCTCTCGTCGCTCGAATGCACTCGACTTCCCATCGCGCTTCCTCATTCGCACATCACGTCGAATTCGAACTCGGCATCCCTGATCCGCAACCGTCTTGCTAAGCTGGGTACTCTCCATCAAGCCAGGGAACTTCTTGGCACTAAAGACGTTGAATGGATTCGTCTTGATTTCCATCCGCCAGTCGACACCGGGCGGCAGGTCGGAATTGGCAGGCTCCATATCAAAGTCTTTTTCCTCCTTGGTAGTCTCGAATAAGCTGAACGAAAGACAAAAGTACCCTTCATGTCGAACGGATAAATCGGGAAAGATGAAGTAACCAGCTTCGGTAGGGCGGTCCAGGTAGGCCATGCCAGAGGCGGGAACGCCGGTCAGAATGGGAGGATTCGTAGCGGCAGC